ATCGATGCAATATCTGATGTACGAATCTTTTTGCACCGGCCCATATCAATAAAAAAGAAAAAAAATTACAGTTGTTTAAAATATACGGGACACGGAGACCCGGGTCTCTGATATTAATTCAACGGATATGTAATACAACCGTTCTCTACTTCTAGTTTACAAACAAACTAACTTTGCTGTGGAAATCCACTTTTTTGAAGGATGAATCCAGTCGAAAGTTCAATAATTAAAACTGGTGTTAGTAGTAGCAGTATTGATAATAAGAGGAGTTCTACCCAAAATTCAACTATTAACGAACAGGAGCAACCTTCAGCACGAAGAAAGGGAGCCTTTACAAGGAAACGAAGAAGTACTCAAAATAATGGAAATGGTTCTAGTTCTTCCACAAACCAGACGTTCACTACTGTTATAAATCAGATCTTGCATAAGCGCGCATCGGTTTCTTCACAGAGACCAAAAGATTTAATTGCAGAAATAAATACCAGTAAAATAGATAATAAAACACGAAATACTTTGCCTCCAAGTCCAATTTCCGTTAATGCGTCGATTCAACAACAAAATCAACTTTTACCTTCTCATTCAACACAGCACTAACCAAATTTACAGCGATTGTTACGAAAGAAAAGTTTTCGTGCTTCTGGACAATTTTCTCCAGTTTCCCTCTCTCAAGCCTCCTTTCCATTTATCGCCAACAGTTTGTCGAAGATCCTTCGTATATTGACATTAAAAAATAATAGCAATCTTGGCGATTTAACTACTAATTCTAATTCTAATTTTAATTCTAATTCTAATAATAATAACGATTATAACAATAATATTAATAGTAATAATAGTAATAATAGCAATAATAATAATAGCAATTTAATTAATAAACGGATCGTATTGAATCATGGAACAACAACCACAAACTCATCTCTAATTTCACCGGTAAACTCTATTGCTTCATCACCTTCTACCGAAATGCAATTCTTTGAAAATTGTAGTAGAGAGCAAAAGTTATTATTTTACCAAACAAAGGACGATAAAATGGAAAAACTATTAAAAAAGGCAAAAACTTTTTTGGATCAAAAGCAAAGACCTAAAGCCAGAATTGTGTCATGATGGAGTGTTATAGGTAATTAAATTGAGAGAGAATGGGATATATTATCCAAGAACCTCACTCAAATAATATATGAAATTTGTTTATTTGTTTATTAAATTTTATTTACTGAAATATTGTTCTTGCTTATTATAAACCAATTTCCCAATCTATTATTTTGATAAGATGTTGCGAATGAATTGGATCAGGCACAATTTTTCAACAAAATCTTGGAGACGTTTTCGATATAGTTTATAGTTCAGTTATAAGTTAAGTAGATAAAATAAAACGTGAGAATTTTATTTTATTTTAAATATGAATATAAAAAAAAATTAAAAAAATTAATGTATTAAAATTGAATTATAAATAGAGAAACCGGATAGATCCACACCTTTTACATCAAAAGAATTTTTAAATTTAAATAAAATTTTACTTTTATTACGTAAAATATTTTTATTTTTGCCTGATAAAATAAGGGTTGGATGGCAAAGAAAACAAATAGG